ATATATATATATATATATATATATATATAATGTATGCGTATCAAATCGATATCGCTTCGCTTGGCAGCGTATCGAATCTCTTTATCCCAATGCTCCGTAAATAGAATGAGACTGTCAGATCGCAGAATCGCGTTTAACGCATACATCGATCAGTATGATCGCATTCACATATCTCAGTGCACGCGTGATAATGACCACGGGGCAAAGTGAGTCATTCGCCAAATCGTCCGCCTACTTAGCCACGGGCAGCTAATTCAAGACAGATCGATTTTTATTTCATGAAATGCTTGTATAACGGTATCCCCGTTTCCTGCACTCGTACGCTCCGCCTTTGGCAGTTTGCAAGAGAGAACATTCGTCTCGCGGGAGTTTTCCACGTCGCGAAACTGTCGCATTCGTCACTGTCGCGAATTCCATTCAAACTTTTCCACTTTTATTGGTAATCGGGAACCCGAGCATGATCGTGCTGAAAGAAAGAATTTACTTCAAGTTAAAATAGCAAACGTATAATTTAGTATTTATACTTATTTATATTTATATATTGACATACAAACATTTTTATATATTTATACTATCATTATACTTGTTGAAAATATTTGTGAATACATACTTAATTATTGAACATCCTATATTGAAAAAAAAAAAGTACTAATAATATTAACTTGATCCAAGTAAAATGATCATTCCAATATTTCTTGGCAAATATCAACTAAAAGTAGAAATATAATTGACTACATACAATATAATAACAAATAATTATGTTTACTTATTCCTTTTTTTTTCTGTATATACATAGAGCATTAAGAAATTAAATCGATTATTCGTAAATTCACCAATACGCAGATTCGCTCAAGAAAAGTGTCAGTCCGTCATTAAGACCAGTATCTTTGCGATTTGTTACGCAGCATACAAGAAAGGATCGCGATGTCTTCCCTGCAGGGATTGCCTCCGTTGCCGAGGAGCCTGAGCGGTTTCAACCTGAGCGCCGGCCGTGGCGAGAGTGGAGAGCCGCCTCCACCGCCCACGAGGTCGTCCAGTAAATCCCAAAGAGGCGGTAAAACGTCGGTGCAGTCGTCGTCGAGGCCGTCGCCACCTGCCAGGCAACTTACCACCCTGGATACCCAGCTGGCGGTGCTCAGGAGAGAAATGGTATTCATCCAAGAATCGCTCGGAGAGACTCTATCTCTCTTCCTTCATTGTGTGAACCATCGAGGAACGGCATCGTCTCGCTACTTCGGCCGGGGAAACGCGCTCCTCGCTGCTCGTTTCACCCGCGAAATACAATCGCCGCGTCGTGGACAATGGACACGCGAGGATATCCGGATATACCTGGCTTCCCGACCGATCCTTGAATGCGTGACGTTTCTCTCCGTCTCCCACGTGTATTAATCGCGCGCCCAACCATCTACGGGTGATCTACGCAGATGTTTTGAATTTTTATCTCGCAACTTAATGCGATCGGAGGACAGTTTTTATAGCCATGATATACTCCGGGCCTCTTAACGGCCCGTTAAAACTCGGAGTGAAATACTCCGATGGTCTTCCCAGCCATAATACTTATGCATTGCGATCGTTAAGCGGCTAGAAAGCTGCTCGTGCGATCGATAGACAGAAAAAAAGAAGTGCTAGATTCAAGTAAATAATTTCTCCGATACTCCTGAGCAAACTTTTACTCGGACGAAGTAATATTTACCCGATCCAAGCCAAATATTTTCCAAGTAAATCATCCAAGTGAAGTATTTACTTGATCCGAGTAAACATTCGCTAAGGAATATCGCAGCGATCATTTGCTTGCGATCTAGCATTTTCTTTTCCCGTGTGACAACGGGGAAAAGATGGCGGAAAAGGGGAAAGATCCCCTTGAGGGATGGCTACGAAAACGTCCGTGCGATGATCTGACGAGGCGCAGCAGCATTGTTCGCGTCGCGGCCGTTAAATCGCCGATGCTGTTCAAAGTAGTTTGAAATTGTGCATCCTTCGGCGGCAGCCATTAACTCTAATAGAAACCATTAGTCATCCGGCGTGGCGCGAGATGTGTTTACGAGCCAGCAGGAAAATTCCACGCGTCCGCGAATAATAACACACGCGACTTCGAGAGAAAAAAAAAGAAAGGTCATCGAGATATTTCCGCGCCGCAGTAACTCCGAACAAGTGTTGCACTAATTATTCGCTCCTCATTACCTCGCAACGTGTGGTTACCCTCTTCATACCTGACATTTGAATTCCTCGCACCTGACATTTCGTGTCTTCTACATGCTTTATACACAAACGCGGTCTGTACTTTTCTCTATTAATCTTTTCGATCCTCTCTTTCTCTATTATTTACTATTATTTTCCTCTCTCGGGCGTTTTATCTTTTTCTTTCTTAATTTAAGGCATTTTTCTCCTAGTCTGCGTATTTTTCTACTGTGCCTTTTCATCATCATTCTCTCTCTCTCCCTCTCTCTCTCTCTGTCTCTCTCTCTCTTTCTCTTAATTATATTATCTTGTATTTAATTATATATGTTTTTATTTTTGTATCTCTCTTTTGAATTTGCTATTTTTGCTAACTAATCCTGAGAGTAACATCCGCGATCTTGACGCTAAAATAACGTCATAGGTCTCTCAGACGAAAAAAAATGGCAAAAACCATGTTTTTTGCATTTTTCTCAAATACTTATATTTAAGTTTATCACCAATTTTTACTTATTGGTTTTGTAGACTGGTTACCGCCGGGAAACCAGTTATTTCATTGGATCGGGCTGATAATAGTGTTGGTAACATGATTTTTCCCGAATAATAAAAGAATAAAAGTAAAACATAGCATCTTGTAGAAAACGTGGGAGAAGAGGTGAGCGAAAGAAAAGGTCTGACGTGTTATCAGAGTAAAAAAAAAAACGGGACGGACTTTTGCGTCAATCCGATATTTTCCGTCTTCGATTTCTTCTTTGAGGTACTTCTCATATAGTTCCACTGTTACCGCCTCGACACGAGCTTCGATTCCCGCCACTCCTTATCCTCGATATTTCGTTACGTCGTCATTCCGAGCACGTTTCATGAACCGTCGTTGTTTTCCACTCAGTCCTGGCGTGTATCCTCTGTCTTCCCTCGATTCTTCCGCGTCTGTTTAGGCGACCCGAGTGCCGACCCGTTACCTCGAGGCCGCGATCGCGTGTGAGTAAATCGCGATGCTCGACGAACACGTATTTCACGCGTGGGATCAAAGCGGCGGCGGAGGGAGGGGTGTCGCGCGCGATAGAGAAAGAGAAGACGCTTATATCACTCATCGTGAGCGAAGCTCCGCTTTTTAATAGGTGTTACGTTACGCGTTTGCTGCATCAACGAGCCTCACGTGTCGACTTCATACGTCGCGCATTCTCCCATGTCGGCTGAGATTTCGCGCTGGCCTATCTGGTTCTGGAAGAGCGTTCGCTTCGAACTTCGTGTGGAAGAGCTCCGCTTGTTAACGGATATTGCGTTACGCATTCGCTGCGACAATAGACTTCTACGTGTCTAATGCCGCTTGATATTCTTGAAATTCCTCGAAAGGGGGGATTTCATTTCAAGCAGTCTCAAAATTCAATTCGAAACGAGTGAAAAGTCGCGGTATTTTCATTCGAATAACGACGGCGGAAATAACGCCGCTCGAAATCGCGAGGGCGAATGTCTCACTCAAGCTTGAGGGTAATTTCGTTTAAATCGAAATTTACACACACATTGATGCGTATGGTGCGTACGAGATTCTCACGCTTCAGTGGGTAAATTTCTTTTGAACTGGTGCAACCAATTCATACGAATGAATATGTTTCAATCGATCAGAGTGAACTTGTTGCCGCGGAACGCATCAGATTCACTCTTCGGTTCCGAGGTTGGACGTATTCACTCGATTCCGAGTGGCGAATTCACGAATTGTACGATTGAAAGATCACTCGGATCCGAGTGACTCGGCGCGATCACTCTACTTTTCGACCGGGATTTCACTGCGAGAAATTCAGAGAGAGCACGTCGCGCGCGCGTTCTCCGACTGTCGCGATTAAGATATCGCGCTAATCCATCTAATTCTGAAAGAGCGCTCACACTTCGGACGGAGAATCATCTCTCTCTCTCTCTCTCTCGCCTCACGACCACTCATTTGCGCGGTTTCCGCGGGCCTCTCCTTATATAACGACCTCTCCGACCATTATTTCACGCAGTCAGAGCCTTCCTCGAGTGTCCCGCGCGGTGACCCAGTGATTTTATGAATTGCCAGGCGTTTCGCATGCGAGATTATCGCCGCGCCGTCGTGTCGTTGATGCGCCTTCTCAGCGCATATTTACCCGGCGAACGCGGTAACCTTCGGCAAGCCTATCTGAAATTAACAGTAACGGGACTTCGCGTAGGATTTCTCCGTGCGCGAGCTCTCGTGACGATCCGTTGAATCTCTCTCCGTTCGCGCCAACGTCTCGGCGCTCGTATATATCCAAGTTAGGCTAATAATTTAATAGTCAATCCAGACACGAAGCGAACTGGCACAGCCGCTCCCACGCTGCATTCCCTCAGGCGTGACTCCCCCCTCCCCCTGACGACCCCCCCGCTTTGCACCTCGCTCGCTCTCTTTCACCTTCGTTATCTCTCTTTCTTCTCATTCCGCCTCCTTTGCGACCGGCCTCGTTCCTCCTTCGTCGCGCTTTCCGCCGGCGTCTCTCTCTCTCTCTCTCTCTCATTCCCATTCTCATTTCGCGTCTCTCCTATGCGACTCCCTCTTCCATCGTTCCCACGACGGCCGGTCGTCCGGCCGGCCGCCGAGAGGCTCGCTTGGAAGTGCGTTGTTTCGCTCCGTAAATCGCGACGTAATATTTTACCTTGGCGACCGTATGGCGAAATGGTAAAAGTGAACGCGAAGCCTGAACTCGAGCGCCTCGCGCGGTGCTCCGCGATTCGTTTCGATATATCGATATGTATACGTATCGAACCCCGCGTGAAATTTCGCGCGGTAGCGGTTTGCGGACGACGAACACGAGGAGATACGCCAACGTGAGTCACGCGGGGGAAGGAGAACCGACGACCGTGGAATCTGTAATGACGAGACGTACGAACATTCGTCTTCCGAATAAAAACAGGAATAGATGATGCATGATAATCGTTATAAATGATGCGTAAGTCGTGTGTGTCACCTCTCTTGGTTGGAAATCGTGTCTTTGGGTGAACATACAAAAAAATATGTTACTCGTCGTGGACATTTATTGTTTATGAGACCGAGCAATCCTGTTTGTTGAATCAAACGTTCGTTCGTTTGTTCTGTTCCAAAAGGCGGATACGTTTGAATGAAAGGAATTTTATCAAACCCAAAGGAATCTTTTCTTCTGTGCAGCGACGACCCCCACCGTCAATATCCTTCTCTTTTTCTCGCTTGGTGACTTATCTTTCGAGCCTTCGATATCTTTCTTTGATAACAATCTGATAACTACGAGAGTTACGGAATAAGTGCTATCAACGGTGCTGTCGACATTGCTCGAGTTTGCGGAGCAAGCGCGACGAAGACGGCGCGAAACGTAATCTCGTTCTCGTCTTTTTGCGCAGTTCGGCCTGCGGCAGCTCGACCTGTCGCTGCTGTCCCAGCTGTGGTCGCTGAACGAGTCGATCCAGGAGTTTCGGCAGCTGCTGCAGGAGCAGGAGGACCGGGCGCCCTCGCCGTCGCCCAGCAGCGAGGAAGGGGACGACACGTCGTACGGAGCGCATCCACCGCCGCCGCCGAGGCGGCCGGCGCCCACGCTGCACCATCATCGACCGCCACGACCACCCAGGCCGCCCAGGCCGTCGCCCAGCGACGAGTCGCCGTCGAGCGAGGAGTACGGGGCAGTTTGACGTATCGTCACCGAGAGGAAGAAGCACACCAGACGGTCCCGCTCGTATCAACGCCCTTAGATCGTCCTGGGCTGGTCGCTTCAGGGGAAGAAAGAAAGAGGGTCTCCCGAGATCATCGGGAGACCGACGTCGTGGAGACGATGATATCGCGATCTCGGCCACTTCGTTCACCCCCCCCCCCCCCC